GCGTGCTCATTCCAAAGAATGGTAGTCTGGACAGAATTTGGAAATTATTGAACAATATCATTAATATCACATGCAAGTAAAATTTTACTAAAGATCATTGGAAAGCAGTTGCAGCAGTACATTGACAGGGAACTGCCAGAAATTTAAGCCAGATTCAGAAGAGGGTATGGAACTGGGGATATCACTGCTAATGTTAGATGGATCTTGGCTGACGGCAGAGAATACGGGAAAGATATTTGCCTGTTTTATTGACTATGCAAAGGCATTCAACTCTGTGGATCATAACAAATTATAGACAACATAGCAAAGAATGGGAATTCCAGAGTATTTAATGGTGCTCATATAGAACCTGTACGTAGACAAAGAGGCATTCATTGGAAGGGAACAAGGGGATACTTAGTGGTTTAAAATCAGGAAAGGTATCCCTGAGGGACTGAATTACTGGGATGAGGGCTGGGGACTATGGTCTTGGAGGACATCTAGCTCAATTGGGATAACATAGTTTATAGAGAAAATGTTCTACATCCTACTTGGATGAGTAACATCTGGGATTTTAAAAGCTTGTGAACAGCCATCTAAAGTACTCCACTGGCCCCACCCTGTCTGGAGAAGGGGAGAATGAAGAAAACCAAAGACACAAGGGAAAGATTAGTCCAAAGGACTAATGGCCCACAAATACCATGGCCTCCACCAGACTGAGTCCAACACAACTAGATGGTGCCCAGCTACCACCAGCAGCTGCTCTGACAGAGATCACAATAGACAGTCCTGGAAAGAGGTGGAGAAAAATGTAGAACAAAATTCTAGCACACACACACAGACATATGCAAATAGACCAGATTTACTCATTGTCATGGATTGAATTTTGTCGCCAAAAAATAACCGTCAACTTGGCTAGGTCATGATTCCCAGTATTGTGTAATTGTCTACCATTTTATCATCTGATGTGATTTCCCTATGTGGTGTAAATGCTGTCACTATGATGTCATAAGATGGATTATCAGCAGTTATATTGATGAGGTCTACAAGATTAGGTAGTGTCTTAAGTCAATCTCTTTTGAGATATAAAAGAGAGAAGCGAGCAGAGGACATGGGGACCTCATAGCACCAAGAAAGCAGTGCCGGGAACAGAGCACATCCTTCGGACCTGAAGTTCCTGCACTGAGATGCTCCCAGAACAAAGGAAGACTGATACATCACAAGGAGATTTCTGCAGAGCCGACAGAGAGAGAAAGCCTTCCCCTGAAGCTGACGCCCTGAATTTGGACTTGTAATCTACTAGACTGTGAGGGAATAAATTTCTCTTTGTTGAAGCTATCCACTTGTGGTACTTCTGTTATAGCAGCACAAATGACCAAGATACTGGTCTTACAGAGACTGGAGAAATCCTGAGGGTATGGCCCCTGGACACCCTTATAATTCAGTACTGAAGTCACTCCCAAGGTTCAGCCTTCAGCCAAAGATTAGACAGGCCCATAAACAAAACAAGACTAAATGGGCACACCAGCCCAGG